AAGGGGAAATATTGGAAACTATAAACTTTTAAAAAAATGCAGCTGCAGAATAATTAAATAAGAATATGAATTATATATGTATATAAATTGTAAAAGTTAATTCACCATAATCAAAACATACCATTTAAATCATTAAAACTATCAATTTTAAGAGAAAGTGTAATTATATTAGTTCCTATGCATGTAATGCAATAGGAACTATTGTAATCACTTTTCACTGTTTTCCCTGTGTGTAGTGTGTAGTGTGTGTGTGTGTGTGTGTAGACATTTATGCAGATGCACATGCATAAAAAAAAGTTTTCCGAAACATAGTCAGGGCTCACGTTAACTGGTCAGCAAGTCGGCATGGATTAAACTATTTTAGTTTGGGGGCCAAAAAAATCAACTGCTGTAGGCATGGGCATTTTGAATAAGGTCTAAAATAAATAAAAGGTTTTAATACTTGCTGAAATACATCGTTTTTTCATTTAGATCTTCATTTTTCACTACCTCCATGCGATTTTTTTCCCGTTGTATGAGTAGTCATATGAAGGTACTATATCCCCGACAGTTGGCTATGCAGCAGTGTACCCGTTGACAAGTGAAGATATAAAGGCAGCCGACTGTCGGGTACATAACGACTATCTAGCTTAGGCTTTCTACAAAAACATGAGGCCTAGTTTAGTCCAGTAGCTACTGTGATGCGAGGGTGGTAGATCGTTTAATCAATGATATCTTGTTATCGTTTAATACATAAAATACATTTAAATAATGTGTGTAAAATTTAAGAATGCACCACGTGGGTCGCTTTCTTTAGTGACAGCAGCAAGGCTAGGTCTAGATTGTGTACGTTCTTCATCATTGTGATGAAAACTTCGGGTGACAAACGATTGGGCCCAACTGGTGTGGATGATCTTGCCCAAGCTATTTTCAAATAAATTGTAGTCTAGTTGGACACTGCCAGCTCCCCCACTCCTGATATCGTTCCAAACTACTGTAAAATGAAAATACTGTATACCTAGCTAGGCCAAGGCCCTAAGCCTACACAATTTTTTCAAAGAAATTTGCTGAAAATATTACTGTAATTTGCCTATCAAATTAACTTACCAATGTGGTCTAAAATCACTATTTTGGGCCATAAAAACTCGCCCTGAATTTTTCAACTACCACACAAATTTGACCCAACCATATTTTATGATTATGTCATTTATGATGACTTAATCAGAAAATATGGTTGGTTAAGTCATGTATCATGCATAGGAACATTGACGCCTGCAAGGCTCTGGGTCATTCCATGCCAATTCAACATGGCCGCGGAAGTCACCGTCTATTGTAACTTAAGTAACTAAGAAAAATGTGAAATTTCAGCTCAATCGGACCCATACTTTCCGAGATACAGGTGTCCGAAAAAGTGGGCGTGGCACCCATTAGAGCCGCCCATGACGTCGTTATTTGGATTCTTTGAATTTTTAAGTGTCATAACTATTTTTCTAGGTCACCTACAAAGCTAAAAAGCATAGTACTTGCTCAACTTTTTGTGTAGAATCAGATTCTGCATTCAAATAATTACTTAGAAAAATACTTTTTGAATTATGCTCTGTCAAACATGGCTTCAGAATGAACGTGACCGAGCTTTCAGCTATTTTTCCTCGCCCATATCTCAAAAACCAGGAGAACTAACCCAAAACTGTTTTTGATTTCTTATACCCTACTAACTTCAGTGTAAGTAAAGTAAATATGGATATAAACCAAGCATGAATACTATCCAATAGGTGCCTCCCATTATGGTCCAGCCAGAAATTTGACAAATAAATGTAGTCGCGTTTGGTGGTAGAACCCAATGTGGATTTTGAAATATCAACTTAAAAATTTAGCATAATAAAGTTCAATATATGTTACAATCATAATATTAAAAACATTATTGTATATTTACCATCTTCTTGAAATATTTTACATGTCAAAATTACACATAATTGCTGCCAACGTGGTCGTTATTTTGATTCTTTGATTTTTGAAATGTCATAATTTTTTATCTAGGTCACCTACAAAGCTAAAAATCACAGTACTTTCTCAACTTTTTGTGTAGATTCAGAATCTGCATTCAAATAATTATTTAGAAAAATATTTTTTGAATTATGCTCTATCAAACATGGCTTCAGAATGAACGTGACCAGGCTTTCAGCTATCAATGCTTAAGTGGTGAGCTATAGTTGTAGTATCAGCTTAAATGTATAAAAAATAATGAGAATGAGCTCTAAAACTGGAAAATGTAATGCATCTGGCATACATGTTTTGAGAACATTATAATTGTTTCAAATAATAAACTGTCGCATACATCCAATACCATAAATCAAAGTTAGTTTAATAAAGGAATTTACATATTATATTGAATGTCTCGTCAGGAACACAGTGCTCTTACCTAAATAAAATTCCAGCTCTCATTATAACCATCTTATTTAATCAGAAATATGTTCTTTAAAATTAAGAAATTTGTCTTTTGCTAGGATATGGTGGATCAGCAACTGGTATGGGAGAAAGTGCAATGTCTGGTCATCGACAGCAGCAACCCCCACCAGCAAGACACTTGATCCTGCCTCAACAGCTGCAGCAGCCCCAAGCACAGATACTGGTCCGGAACCAGTCGATGGCCAATTCGTTAAGATTACCTGTGCAGTGTAAACACCCGATGCAAAGCCTTCAAAGACCATCCCCAGGTAGGCATGTATTTTAAAGGCAGTGGCTAATTCGTACATAATCTGATGGACAATTTCAATACATTTAAAACATGTAAAAAATTATATCAGTTAAGAAAAAGTGCCAAGCCAAAGGTGAAATAATGGAAACTATAAATTTTAAAGAATGCAGCTGGCAGATGTGTATAAGAGACAGTATTAAGGCATGTCACATGTTTTTCTCAAATGAATTTTGATAGTCTATAGACAGGCTGTAAAATTGTGAGAATTTTAACAGGTTGTTGTTTTATGGAATATTTTATGACACAGTTAGTTTGATTAAAATTGTATGGTTTGGAATTATGGATCAGAAATTACAAAATAAGCCATATTTTGATTTAAAAAATAGATTATAATTAATAAAAAAAAAAAACTGTCTTGTAAGTAACATATAAAATACAAAACCACCAAAAAGAAACCCTTGTAAATTATTTTTTTATTTCTTAGGTGGAATGCAGGACTATAATTACCTACATAGTAACTGCTTTGAAATCACGGTGGAGTTGTCGTGCTGCAAGTATCCGCCGCCTTCTCAGCTCTCGACGGAATGGGATAATAACAGGGAAGCTTTACTGGCATATATGGAACAGGTATAGTGTCCCACCTCCCTTTAAAAAAAAAAAATCATTCATATTATGCCTTTTGTTGATCATTTAATTAATTATAATTAACGTGTTGATTTGATTCAAGGGAAAAATTGAATCTATGCGAATATTCAAATGTAATTTCAGTATTACAGTTTGCCCTCCAATTTCGAGACCACTTTTGGGACCTGAAAATTCGGGGTGGTCTCAGGGGTTGGTCTCCAATTAGAGGGCTAACTTTGTGTTAAAAGGTTGAAGATTGTTATTTGGGTTTTTGGAAATGTGGTCTCGAATTAGAAGGATCTCAAATTGGAGGGTGCACTGTATCATTTTAATTTTACAATTTAAAAAATCTATTTTAATACAGTAAATTATGTTTCTTTTCTCTTTTTGCATCAGTGTAGTAGTTGTTTTTATTGAATATTTTATAATTTGTTCTTAAATGCTCATTGTATACTGATTATCACTACCTCATTTATTAATAGGTACATAAAGGGGTGAAAGGTGTGGTGGTAGACGATGTTGATGGTGTTGGTATTGCTAATGCTGATATTGTTGTCGACGGTATTGATCATAATGTTACGTCCATTACCGGTGGTGATTTTTGGCGCCTGCTAATTCCAGGGGCCTACGCGATCAATGCTTACGCTGAAGGGTGAGTGTGAACCGTTAGCAAAACATGGAGCAGTGGTTCTCAATCTATGGATTGCGACTCAATATTGGGTTGCACTACCTCAGCCCCACCATGGTTGGGGCTGAGGCAAGAAAATTTATGATTATGTTATCTCTAGATGGTCGGAAAGGACACTCCTAAACTCAAAATTTGAGTAGAACTTTCTTTCTCTCTCTATTTTTAATTTGTATTTTAGAAAGTTTAAGGGGGAGGCGTAGCCGGGCCGGCTAGGCCCCCTTGAATCCGCCGCAGATTGTGGTTGGTGTTTGCCTTTCTAACCATTATAAGGAACTTCACTTTATTGCCCTTGTCATAGGAGCCAATTATGTGGGACACAATGCCGATTCTCTGCTCGCATTATATTTTGTAATTGATCTGACTCACTAAAGAATGTATTTTTAATTATGATTAAAAGTGAAATTAATTCAAGTGATACAATTATAGTCTTAAATATTATGTATGCTTGATAGTTCTGAAAAGAACTGTTGTTGTTGGTTGAGAATATCTCTTTTCAGAACTATCTATGTGGTGTACCGCAAGCATTAATATATATTATTCAGTGGTGGTGCCAGCGTCTGAATCTGGGTGGGGGGGGGGGAAGAGTGTACGATTTGGGTTAAGGGAATTTCCCCGAAGAGTGCAAAGTGGGCGTGGTTGGGTGTCGATTAAAATGTTTCAAAGCAGTCCGGGGGGCGGAGCTCCCCAAAAATATGACAATTTAGGGGTTTCAGAGGCTTAATTAATCAATTTTATCTATAGATAGTCTACTACTATGTAGAAAATATATATAATATTTTTTTCCCCTACAAATTATGTTTTTCTTTTATTCTGGGGGGATTTTCTGGGGGTAAAATTCCCCCCTTGCCCCCGTAGCGCTGCCACTGATATTATTACTTCGCCATGCAAACCTTCAAACAATAATCATAGTCTTGTTTCATTGCACTTTAGAAATTATATCAACTGTAGATTTTTATTTTTGATGACTTATTAATAAGAAGCATTGTACTTATGAATTACCTATCATCACAACAGAGAGCAATTTTAAGGAGCTGTTGGTGGATTTTTCAAGATGGTATGATGGACTTGGATACATCAATATGCTGAAAGTTCTGTACACAGATCATGTGCCAGATTATACTGATTTAATTGGAGCTACTAAGGGGATGCCCTTGCTGCAAAAGTTAATTGGTTCAGGGAATTTGAGTTCAACAAATCTCGGTATCCTGTACGACACAATAAAAGTAACTGGGCAATTTGGCTTCAAATCCAAAATTGTACTTCAACCTTTACAAAGACTCGAGGAACATAAAGTGTCTAAATTCACGCGATACAAACAATTCCTGTTAAAACTCGGAATGAAACTGACTAGAGAAGATATAGACATGCTTGATGCACGACATAATGACATGCCTTTGTTAAAAGATTATAAAGACAGCTGGCATTTGATACTGCATCTAGAGCAAAGGAAGGGGCTTTGTGAAGAAAACATTGGAAATTTCATTGAAGGATTACCAAGTTACTTGGCTGTGAAAGCTTTACTTGAAGGTATGGTTGGCTAAAGGAGAAAAATTACAAATTTTAAATAATTTTAGAACTAATTTAATATTTAGTTACATAATACCTCATTTAAAACAATAGGAAGATTGTAAGAATTGCTCAATTTGTGGCATCATAATGAAAAGTATTGCATTATTGTAAAGAAACGAATCCAGTATGGAATCGTTAGACCCTGAATGACAATGATTAATGTACCTGGCCCTCTTGCCTCAGCTCAAACTTGTATCTTTTATATTCAGACTATTGTGCTGTGTTCTACTGTAGCTATGTATGCTGTTCACATTCTCAATTTTTGGTTTCTTGTGCAGATAGCAGAGAAGCATCAACATCGAAACGACCAATGTTAAGTGAAGGTATGTACTGATGATATGTTTTACTTGACAATGATATTTGAAATTGCCCAATTTGTGGCATCATAATTAGATATAGCTACATCAATGTGACTAATGTATACAAACTCATCATATCATTCTAGACGTGCCTTGCTTTGTGATTGGTTGAAATCCACTGCCCGATTTTTGAGACCATAAAAAAACGGATCTACATTACTTATGGCAAACAAATCTTTAGACCCAAGTGATGATGATTCCTGTGGCCCTACCGGACCTCAAGCCTTATTACTGTACCTTAAACTTACAGCTGTGCTGTATTTGTTATGATCTTGTGTAGCTATGCTGTTAATGTTCACATTCTCAATTTCTGGTTTTGTACAGGTAATGAAGAACCATCAACATCAAAACGACCAAAGTTAAATGAAGGTATGTACAGGGTGCTAAACTATACAGTATTTTACATTTGACTTTAATATTTGAACAACAGATGTAAATAGAGCTTTGTCTGAAATTAAATTTCTTATGAAACTACAAGTTTTTGTTTTAAAGGAAATATAAAGATGTGAATTTAAGAAACAAATTTTGAAACTTCTTGGAGAAAATAAATTATTTTTTAAAAGTTAAGAATGAAATGAAAATAAGAACGAAAACTGAGATGGATTTTAAAAAAATGTTCCATATTGGTCTATATGTGAATGTTTATGTTTTTTTGAATAATGCGAATAAATGTGGCCTTTCCAGAAAATTATTTCAGTTTAGTAAAATTGCTAGGCCTAAGGGGAAATATTAGATACTATGAA